TATGGATTCTTGGAAAAAATTGTGACCCCATATTATTGTTTTTCCATTTCTGTATTTTCTTGGATTTTTAGGTTTTATTTAGGGTATTATTGAGACCCCCACTAGGAAAAAAGGAGGAGGAGAAAGGGAGATGGCTCAAAATGGGCAGGGGATAGAACCTGCGGTTCTTGATGACATAATTAACAGGCTATTGGAGTTCAGGAATGCAAGAACTGTTAGACAGGTTCAGCTTTCAGAGGCTGAGATTCGTTCTCTCTGTACTGCTGCAAGAGCAATCTTTCTTCAGCAGCCCAATCTCTTGGAGCTTGAAGCCCCTATCAAGATCTGTGGTAAAAATCTTTTTTTTTTCTAAACCTTCTTGTTTTACTTTGTTGGCACAGACGAATCATTATTACATGCATGTTCATATTTGCATTTGAGTTTGTGAAACCCCTGGTAGTTGTAAGGCTTGAAGACCTTAAATTTGTTTAGTGAATGTTATTCCGCGCTGTTAAATGTGAAAAAATGTTGATGAATTTGAAAAATTAGTTTCTTTGACCTGAATGAAACTTGTGGGGTATTGGCGAGGGTCTTCTCAATTCTTAGAGCATGTGTGACGCAGGAGAATATGAAAAGCTGTTTGTTCATTTTGAATAGGTTTTTATTTCAAAAAAGTTTCAAAGGTTGATTGCACAGTTTGTACACTCATCCACTTTGGAGTCTTACTTATAGGGGTGTAGCTTGTCATTTTAATGTAAATGCGGAATATATTTGTAATATGGGTATACTCGTGGGATACAGTTGAATAGTGTATCTGCTTTTGGATATCATTGCTATGATATGTCACATGACAGAGCCCTGCTCCTAATGCTTGTCTTTTTGCCTTTAGTAAGTAGCACGCCTAAAGAAAGAGATTGCTGAAAGAGTGAATTACTTGAAAGACAGTAGGAAAGCGAACAGATGTAGAAACTTAGTTCAGAAATTTTGTAATTAGGTTTTGTTTGCTTGAGACTTTGGGATAGAGAGTACCCTTCCTAGAAGATGGCTCATCATCCTAAAGTGATCTCTAGGTGTAAATTTTTGGTTGTTAATGGTAATACTTCACGGTTTACCCAAAAAAAAAAAGTAGCACGGCTCTTTATTTGTTTACCTGTAGTTTGATAAGATTACAAGGCTCTTGATTAATCTGTTTGGCTGTAGTTTGATAGGATGTGTTAGAAAAGATAGAGTAGAGTCCTTACGTTTTCCTGGAGATTGTTCTTCTATTCTTGAAAGAGTGAGAATTTAGTCTCTCGATATCTTTACTTGATGTGCTTGCTGAATTGCTTCGTTGTTCATACTTCCCTTGAGATTAGGTTGTCATTATTATAATATTTTCTTATATTGTTTCTATCTTTCATATCTTTTATCAGGCAGTATGTTTATTTCATAACAAGATTCTTTTCCTCAGCTGTTCACCTCTTCAGTAGATCCATTTCACTTTTCTGTTTGGGGATGGTTGAGGCAATCTGTCAAAATCAATCTATGTATTTGGTCAAACTAATTAGCCTATCTCTTTTTTTTTTCCTTTTCTGGATTCTAGGTGATATTCATGGACAGTATGGTGATCTTCTGAGGCTTTTTGAATATGGTGGATTCCCACCCCAGTCTAATTACTTGTTTTTAGGGGACTATGTTGATCGTGGCAAACAGAGTTTGGAGACTATATGCCTTCTTCTTGCTTACAAAATTAAATACCCAGAGAACTTCTTTCTGTTAAGAGGGAATCATGAGTGTGCTTCTATTAACCGGATATACGGATTTTATGATGAATGTAAGCGCCGATTCAATGTGAGGCTGTGGAAAGTTTTCACTGATTGTTTCAACTGTCTTCCCGTGGCAGCTCTCATAGATGATAAAATACTTTGCATGCATGGTGGCCTTTCTCCTGATCTAACAGACATGGATCTGATACGAAATTTGCCTCGTCCAACAGATGTTCCCGATTCCGGTTTGCTTTGTGATTTACTTTGGTCAGATCCTAGTAGGGAAGTTAAAGGTTGGGGAATGAATGACAGGGGCGTCTCATATACCTTTGGTCCTGATAAAGTGGCAGAGTTCTTGATGCAACAAGATATGGACCTTGTTTGTCGTGCCCATCAGGTACTTCTGTTTGACTCGTGGTTTTCTCTTTTTCTAGTATTGAGTTATTTACTAGGATATTTCTTACCTAGGTTGTGGAGGACGGCTATGAATTTTTTGCTGAAAGGCAGCTAGTTACAGTATTTTCTGCCCCAAACTACTGTGGCGAATTTGATAATGCTGGTGCAATGATGAGTGTGGATGAAAATCTGATGTGCTCTTTCCAGATTTTGAAGCCAGCTGATAGAAAACCTCGGTTCTTGTGAAGCAAAAGGTCATAGCTTATGTATGTGCTCTCCCAGTGGCACCTAAGGTTTGTGTACTTGCCGCATTGTCATTTATTCCATGACAAATCCAACATGATTCTCTGCAATGATATTATCAATCAACCTCTGTTTTGGATTGATCTTGTTTCTGTGCCATAAAACTAGATGCCTATGCTGATATCATGTAATCCATACATACTAGGGTTGCAAAGAGGTTTGAGCCTTGCATTTCCCCTTCTTTCTAAAAAATATGTTTATGGGTTGCGCTGGTCATTTCCCACCTCTTCTAAACAGACATGTATGTTATTTGTTGATATAATTTGCTTTGTAGTTCATTCATATTGACTATTCTTTAACTGGCGAAAGCTACCTGTTTCAAGACCCAAATCTTAACCATGTGTAATGACACTATTTTATGTGGCTTAGTTTACTGTCATTAATACCTAAAGCTTAACTAGACATAGTGATTCTATTTAGTATCATAATGTTGTTTTGCATTTTACACACTTCATTTTCCAGCAATTCTTTTAAACATATCTCTATCAAAATCAACACTTCTTTCTGCTCATCTCCTTGCAAGTCAAGGTAGAGTGCTACTCCCTCAATATTAACAAAGTTACTGAAATAGTTTTCTAGTGGTATGGTATCCTCTATCATTGGTTTACGAATAACCACATTTTTTAACGATAGAATGCTCATGTTTCTTCTTCCTAATTTCATATCCAACCTTCATTGGTTGAACATGTGACTTATTGTGTGCTTTAACTACTCCAGTCCTTTATTAGGGTCTATTCCGAGGAGAAATTTTGCTATGAAAAATTTATCTTTTCCCTTTTCTTTCAAAAGACTCTTTCAACAAAAAGCAGACAAACACTCTAAAAACCAGATATTTAATTATAATAAACACTTCAAAATACTTTAAATGAAAATTGTGTTGAGCATTAGGAAATTTAAAAAATATGCTTCAAAGTGACCTCTTCCCTTTCTCACTTCAATATTTGGAGTGCACTATGTTGTCTCGCATAATCATACGTTTATCCTTCTCTATTACTTCCTTGATTAAACTGAATTTTAAGTTACCAACCATTTATTTCTAAAACTTATAAGATTATGTAAAATGACACATAATATGTCATGGCTGTCAGCTGAGTTGTCAAGCTTCTCTGCGGATGAGAACTTTCATGTCCTTTTCCTAAAATTGCAGTTGATTAGTTGATTTTGTTATATTTCCACATCCACACTTTTGTCACCCTTCATTGTCAATTTAATGCATTATTGTCGAAGGTGACTTTCTTTTGATGAAGAAAGACATAGATTAAGAATATATGTACACACACCATGTAATTCAAGAAAAGAATGATAAAGAGAAACAATAATTGTATGGAACAAAGGTTTTGAAAACTACAATCAAGTACCTCAAGTAAAAAAATTAAATCAAGTTCAAAACATTTTAAGTCACTGATTTAGACACAAAAATGCAGTCTTAACTTTTTTGGATGACGGAGAAATTCATTTTGGGCCAACCCTCGGGGCCAACTACAATTTTTGAAACTCGGGGATAATGGACCACCTCCTTTCTCAACATAAAATCCAGGATTAGTTTGCATAGTGAGTCTTAATTTTTCTTGTTCAATTTATGACTGGCTTTTATGCTAAATTTCTAGTTTCCTATTGTTAAGCACTAACATATTTGGCCATGGAATTCCTTAACTTAATGCATTACTCTGTTAGCAATATTTATGTTGTAGTACTGTTCTCTTCTAGATAGCATCCATGGGCAGGATCACGCTATAGTGCCCAGTGACTTTACTCTAGTGTCCGTCCTGCCTGTGCTACTCCAAGTTTCAGGGCGTAAGTGTGTCTCAACCGTCCTCTATCAACACCACCTTCTTGAAATACTAATTCTTAGACACTGTCGTTTATCAACACTACCTTCTTGAAATACTTATTCTTTGTAAAGTCAATCTTATGTAATTATATTATTACAGCAAGAGAAGTTTCTAATTCAAAATCCTCTTCATTTGATGAAGGCCATACTGTCTCTTTTTTCTACAAGTTAAATGATCATACCTATAAGTGGGGTTCATGTGGAATCTCTTACTCTCGGTGACCTTTTTCCCCCCTTTCATTAAGAAGTCATGCAAAATCATCTGATTGAATGCAGTCATGTACAATACATAGAACAACCTATGAAACGAAAAGGAAAAAGGATGTCCAATACTTGGAATTTGGCACATCAGCTATTTAATTTTGGCTACGTAATCTCTCTAGAAATGATACTTTACCATGCCAGTGAAACCATGGATTAAAATTTAAATCGATGGTTTATTTCTTTGGGTCTATACTGAGGTGTACTTTGTATTGTTGATCACTTCATCCTTTAGCATGACTATTCTTCAGGTATTTTATCTAAGTCGTAAGGCTTTGTTCTTTTTTCATTAATGTGAGTATTGTACGTTTAATAGTTGTGCTCCTGTTTGAGTATATGAGCAAAAGATTCTTAAATTTCATTCCTTGATTTACCACCTCTAGTGCTGAATTCAGCCCGTTTCTTCATCAAAACATTTTTTCAGCTTTTGCGTAGTTATGCATGATGTATATGCTTGAAATTTTCTTTAATTTGGTATTCTAAAGATGGTTATGTTTCGCAGAAATTTCTTATGTGCTGGGAAAGAGCAGTTGAAGATGCTGGCTTCTGTAATGTTTGTCAAACAAGCATGGTTTCGAATGGGAAAGCAGGTGGTTCAGTTCAGGACCATGAAAATTGACTTTAACTGTAGTTTGAATGGAGGCCTCAAAGCCAAAATACTTTTCCTCTGTTTTTCTTGGTGGGTCGTTTATCTTTTTTATATTTGCTCGTGCAATCTATGATTTGACGTGTAAATACATTCTGTTTGTAATCTCAGTTGCAATCTTATTAAGTGATTGGTACTTAAAAAAGTTTGCCCTTTTCAGCCATCTTTCTAGTTTACCCCTAATTATATTGTTTTATATGAGTTGTGAGCTGAATGGTTTGCTAGTTTCTACTTCATTATCTTCATTAAATGATGGGTTTTTGAGAAAAAAATTGTGTTACTGATTACTTCTAATTATACAGCCAACAAAAAAGGAAATACAATAGAGAGGGTTACAGCATAATTGACATTATGATTCGTCTGTGGGTCTATCTTGGGATAACTTATCCCACCATACATATGAGATAACTTATTCTATCACTATGAATTATGATATAAATGGTGGGATAAGTTATCTCAAACATGGCAACCAAAAATAATTTTATCCCATCACTATTCATTTTTATCTCTCACACCAAACGATCCGTTAGAGTTTGTTGTTCAGAATGAGTGTGATCTTGTTATATTTTACTATGATGGAAGCTATTAGTCACTTCTGAAAAATATTGAGTCAAAGTAAGTATCAGTGACTTCTAGCTGTATGGATTGTGTGGTTACGTTGGGTGGGAATGTGGGGAGGGGTAATGTATACATGTAGCCTATTCTGCTTTGGGAAAATCCTTTTGGCCATAATTTGGCCAAGTAAAAGGATATGTTCACACTATAAACTAGTTTGTTTTAGGATATTTTTACCCTTTAATTTAAATATTGAATATATTCTTCAATTATGTTTCCAATACATTGAAAATGATTAATGATTTCTTAATTAAACATGGGAAAGGAACCACAAAATTAATCAAAGAAAACATAAGTCTCACCCACTCTTCTCACTTGAAATTTTCAAGATCTAAATTTCTTTAATTTTTTTGACAGTAATAGTAAAAGATAAAAAAAAATATATCTCTTTTTCGATTTCAAAATTACCTCCTTATTTCTTTTGTTTATTTTGTTTTCCATTTCTAAATTACCTCCTTAATTCTTTTGTTTATTTATTTTCCATTTCTTTTTTCTCGATGATAAAACAAAAAAAAGTACAAAAGAGGAGTAAAGTGTAGATAATCTAGTTTAGTAATTTCCAATCGTGAAAAGATAAATTATATTAAATTTAAATATTAAAAATTTATATCTATAATACTCAAAATTAAAAGAACTGAAATTGACAAAATAATTACTCTTATTTGTTTAAAGTGTTGTTGTTACACATCGATTTTCTGGAAAAAAAGTTAAATGATAAAATAATATTTTATCAGATTATACTTAGAATATATATGAGCAAAATATGAAGAAAACAGAAATTACCATGTTTCCTCTATTATGTGATTGTCTTCATATCCTCGACCGTATACGAATCAATCATACACAAATTTGTTAAGCATGAACTTCAAAGTTTCATCACATATATATTTTTTTCTTTATTAGTATTATTTGTTGTTTTATAAATAAACAAATGTTTGTTATTAAATGATATGTTAAAATATTAAGTATACATAGTTGTAGTCAGAATATTATTATTTTTTGAAACTGATTAGGAATTTTTAAAATTAAGTAATTTTATTGTATTTATTATATAAATAAATTTAAATTACATATTTAAATAATTATTTAAATTAAATTTTAAATAACTTTTATAAATATAATGTAAAATAGTTCAAGAATAGCCGCCAAAACTCAAAATACTTTAGAATTGATAGACATCGACACATTAAAGAAATACTAAAAATCATATGGTTCATAGGTGTCGATCCTATTTAACAACAACCCAAGATAGTTGCACATTAATGTTGTAGTTTTACATATTTATTAATTATTATGTTTTAAAAAATTAAACTACGTATTGAAAACTACATATTTAAAAATTAAACTACATATTTAATTATTGTTTTAAAAAATTAAACTACGTATTTCTATAATGTGTCGATGTCTACAATTTTAAAGTATTTTGAGTTTTGATTGTCGTTATTGAAATATTTTTTTCAATTATAATTAAAAATGATTTTTATGTATAGTTGTCTCCTTCGGTAGAAAATTCTATATTAAATGAAAATATTTTTAAAAAAATGTATATCCTAATTATGTTATACTTTATTTACATACATAAACATATTGTAATTTAATATAGTATCCTATATAAAATACATCTATTTTAAAGTATTATAATTGATAAGTAGGTATTGAGTGATCTTTTATTTATTTGTTTTGAAATATCCTCTTAATTAATATTATTGGAGTAATTGATTTTTTTATTCATGGTTAAAATTAGTGAAATAATTTCACTAATTTCTATATATGTTAATTCTTGTTTGGAATGATAATAATATAAAAAATTAATATGTTATTCATGGTATAGTTATAAATGTCTTATCATCAATTATTTTTTAGAAATTCTAATTTCCAAAATAACATTATTTTTTCTCTTGAAAAACATCCATTATATAAACTAATCTATTTAGTTGATTATATTTAAAGAGAAAATCATTTTTTTAATCTAGCTTAATTACTATATTTTACTAAATTTGTATTACAAAATAATTAAGTATAATCTTAAGTAGATAAGATAGTCATTTGTAGTTATTATTACTGAGAAATTTAATTGTCTTCTTCAATAAAGAGATTTATTTTAAGCAAAAAAAATAACTTTTCAATGGCATGCATTGGTACCTTATGAACATAATTGAGTTCGGGGGAGGGTTAGAGGAGGGAGTGTAGGTTATTGTATATGTAGAACATAATTTGTATGGTATATAATGAAAATAATATTCATGTATAAAAACAAAATTACAAAAATATTTTTAAAACTAAAGCGCACAATTTTTTTATTAACTAAAGAATATTTGTTTTTAAAAATAAATCGAATGAACTATACACATATACAAAAAAAACATACACAAAAACATTTTTCATTTTTCTTGGCAATCAAATAGTTTGTGTTTTAGTAGTTCAAAAAGTTTGGGAAATAGAAAAAAGTTAGTTTGTTTGGAGGGAAAATATTGAGGAAATAAATGCAAAAATTGAAATAAGAATATTATAGCCATTTTACATTTATTACCAAATTCTGACCAAATTTTTCTGGCTATTTAACATTACTCTTCTTTTTTTATCAGGCGACTGTTGTAAAACTAGACAAATAGATGTGTTCATCATTTTTACATTTCCTTAGTTGTCCATTGAATTTGAGAACAAACAAACAAATATCGGGAATGTAAAAAGGTGACCTCACTCTAGTTATCAGAAACATTCTGTCATTAAATGTAGAAATGCTACAGTAATAGTCAATTAAAACAAACCTCTTCCACATTTTCCTCCAGCCTTTGTGATTGTCTTGATTAGGAACTTAGTGAGAATTTTGCTGATTATCTGGTGGATATGGCCAGTGTCTTCTCTCTTCAAACTAGTACTATATATAGCCATGCAGATTGTACTGAGTATTTACAATAGGCAAGTCGTTATCCATGAAGCTAATCACTTTTTTCGCCTTGTTTTTCCTGCTACAAAGCACTACTATTCTTTTTTTTGTTGCTGCAGACTATTCTGTAGCGACATCACAATATGGTGGCAACACTCCTCCGCCTATTATTAGCCAACCACCACCTTCTCATGTCTATCAACCGCCTAGTTCTCCAAGTACACCACCTCTGAGGCATGCTCCACCACACCATGCCCACCCACCACCTTCACATGGTCATGTACCACCATTTGTTGGTAGTCCTCCACCGCCGTCTCCAGTGATTTCTCCGCCTAATCCCCCACCATCGTATGGTTCTCCTCCACCCTCTCATGGTGGCGGCCATCCACCATCTCAAGGGCATAAACCACATTCACCCTCTTATGGACATGCACCACCTCCTACAGAGCACACGCCGCCACCTGGAGGATATCATCCACCTAGCCATCATCAGCCTTCACCCCCAAGTCATCATGGACATCATCCACCACCAACACCAACTTACTCTCCTCCTCCTTCTCAAATGAAACCTCCATTACCTCCATATTCACAACCATCGCCGCCGCCACACTCACCACATTCATATGGACATGCTCCACCCCCTAAAGGGCACACGCCACCTAAAGGACATCATCAACCTTCACCCCCAAGTCATCATGCACATTCTCCACCACCGACTTATTCATCTCCTCCACCTCCATATTCACAACCATCACCGTCACCACATTCACCGCCCTCACATGGATATTCACCACCTCCTAAAGGGCACACACCACCTAGAAGACATAATTCACCAAGACATCATCAACCTTCACCTCCGAGTCATCATGTACATCCTCCCCTTACACATGCACAACCACCACCAACTCCAATTTACTCGCCTCCACCTCAAGTGCAACCTTCACCTCCGACTTATTCACCTCTTCCACCTACATACTCACCACCATCACACTCGCCACCTTCACATGGACATGTACCACCTCCTAAAGGGCACAAGCCATCTAGAGGACATCATACGCATTCACCTCTGAGTCATCATGCACATCCTCCACCAACATACTCGCCGCCACCATCTCTGCCAACGTACTCCCCTCCCTCACCTGCACAATCACCTCCATCTCCACCAACATACTCTTCTCCTCCACCTGCACAATTGCCGCCACCACCTCCATCTGCAAAATCACCACCACATCTACCAACATATTCCCCTTCTCCACCTGCACAATCACCACCACCTCCACCAACACACTCCCTTCTTCCACCAACATATCCCCCTCCTCCTCCCCCACCCCCACCAACATACTCCCCTCATCCACCTGCACAATCACCACCGCCATCATCACCAATTTACTCGCTTCCACCACCATCAACCCCTCTTCCACCTACATACTCACCACCACCACTAACTTCTCCTCCTCCACCAACACATTCGCCTCCTCCCTCTGCTTACTCTCCACCTCCACCATCGACTACATATTCTCCCCTTTCTCCTCCATACGGTCTTCCACTAAGCACTCCATAAACTGCAGCGTCCACCGGATCAACAAGTCCTCCACCTTTAACGTGCCATGGCCTATCGCCACCATGTATCTCAAATACACCATAAAAGTTGCATTAGGTTGCTAGTTGCTCTTTAGATTAATAAGAATGGTCTGCTATGTTTCTTATGTTGTCTCACTAGAAGCAGTTATATAGTGTTTATTCAGTTTTTTTTTTCTTATTGTAAGAGAATAACTTTGGATATTAGTGTCCTATTATAAATTTCAAGTTATGTTTAATCATTGATTAAGTACTATATATTGTCCAATGCGTTGGTCATGGAAGAATAAATCATATAACCACTAAATAGAAAAAGGATAAATTAAAAAAAATGATATGTTGTTATATTTTTTTGAAACTATCAATAAAAGATATATGTACTATTGATTTAGTTTGATTTGATTTAATTTTTTACAAAACTAAATGAAACTTTTATCGATTATTCAAAGATAAGTGGTCAAGTAAATACACATATTAATTTGTTTATGTGCATCATCACTAACTTGTTTAGCATACAAAACTAAATAAAACTTGTTTTGAGGACTTTTTTTTTCATTACTAGATAATCAATGCTCCTGGATAATGCGGACGTATGCCTAACATCAATATTAAAAATAGGTTCATTATTGAGGATCAAACTTGTTTAATTTATTTAGCAGAATTATTACTAAAAATAATATAATGCTATCAAGCAAATAAAATGTTGACTGTATGATGACAGTTCATGTGGTTTACATTTATTTGAGAAATGAAAATTCTAGAATTGGTATGTGCATTAAAATACATTAATTTAAATAATATTAGTTCTCAATCTGCCTTTATTAATTATAGAAATATTTTTCAATGAACAAGATTTTATCATAATCAGATATTTTGAAAATTAAACCTTTTTCTATAAAAAGACGTTATCTAATTAAATGAATTTTACGGACGATTAAAATAATTAAAAGAGAAAATTAGATGAGTGGCTGAATAGCGAGCATCGTGTGCATATAAAAAGTTGAGAGGCGCATGTGATTGTCTCTGTGCAAATATTCGCTGACAGTCTGTCTCATCTTCGTGGAACCCACTTTGTTCTCTCTAGTGCGCCTCTTTAAACACCTGGCCTATATACTCTCTCTCTCTCGTAGTATCTACTTCCACAACTCCTCTCTCTCTCCGGCAGGCCGGCGATCGGGTCAAACCTCATTGTTTGACCATGGCTTCCGTGATTGAATCTGCTTGGACGGTAAGACTTTTCTACTTCATTCGATGTTTATTAGCCCTAAATTGTACTGAATCTGCTTTTAGTTTAACTGCATTTTGAGATTGACGCTTTTATTTTGTGGATCTACCTGATTTGCCGACGTTGAGAATCTGTATATTTGTGCATGCGGATTTGTTTTAGTTTGCTGCATGAGTGACAGTACACTGATGAGGCCGATTGGCACATCATTGCTTATATCGATCGTTAACCTTTTTTATTCGTTACATAATTTTGGTGTCTGAGTAGCTTAGGTGTAGTCAACTAATTTCACGTGATAGCAACAATAATTCTGTCCAGCAAGTCTAGGACAAATGAGAGAAGAAATCTTTTAGTTTAAATTGTCTCTGTGGGGATTTGGACTTGAGACTTGATGGTTTTCAAGTCACTTTATGATTACTAGGCCAAATCCTTGAGTGCTTTGCATATATAATCAATAAATAGCTTTGACTATGAAATATAAATTCATCGCTCCATGCATATGATTTGATTGTTGACAGAATCTCCTCTGTATTTTCCTTTGTGAAATTTTAAATAAACGTTTTTGATTCTACTGAAGTTGATTATTGAAGGTATAATATGAGAAGGTGGTTAAGATTTAGTGACTTTAGGCAATTTTGTTGGGTAGTAGTCATTCATTTTTTTCATATCCTTTCTCTCTCTGTCAGATAGCTATGGGTTCTTTCCGTACAAGTATTAATAAAAAAAGTAGGCAGTATAACTTTAGGGGAGAGAGTTAGTAAAGATTGATTTGGATTTGTGTGCCAAAAGGACACATGCTGGATTAGTAACAGGCATAACAAATAACTGAACAGTGTGCAGCACCATCAGAAATCGAGTGCATAGTGAATTTGGAGCATTTGGAGCTCAAACTGTGACCAGTTGTTGTTTTATAGTTGTAATAGGTTTGTGAACGAGCTGAAATTGGATCAAACACAGCTGGAGTGTTGTAGTTCTGTTTGTTTAGAAATTGTGGGAATCAGAGCTAGATCAGGGGTAACAGAATAAAGTATTGTTGATCAACCTGGATAAGTGTTGGGTTTGTTTGAATATAGCTATTGAAACATACGTAGAAAGTTAATGATGAGCTATCTCATGGGGTTTAAGTGTATGGAATTTAGACATTTACCAAGAAGGTTTTGGGGGGAATTAACTAAGCATGGCAGTTTTGAAGGTTTGTGACGGATAATCAAATTTTTGTCTGACCATTGTCCAGGACATATCTCACTTATTGAAGAATTCTCAAACTTCTTCTGGTTTGCCTTAAGGAAGCTGTGAAATGATGGGAGCTTGACAAGGCTCAAGCTAAGGCTACAGCTTGGATCTAGAACTTAGGAGGCTGTGTATAGATTGCGAGATTGACAACATAAATTGAATTCTAGAGGGTTAAATGGCTTCCAATTCTGATGTCCGAAAGTGGATTCTCTAACTTGAAAATGTACGAAGTGTGGAATATGGCATCCATGTTTTACTATCAAATTCTTGCAACCAATAAAGAATTGAAGAGAAGATCCCCTGGATTTCTGGAAGGCCATGTATAGAACTATAGCTCCTGTGAAGGTCTCTTATAATGGACAGACAGAGCACTATATGAAGCAATTATGATCAATAGAACCTTAGAGGAAAACCTTGGTTAACAAATGTTTCATTCTTGGAAAGTCATGAAGATTTAGTTACCCACCTGCTGATGCATTCACTGAAACAAATGAAAATGGACCATGCTCCAGGTTTTATGTGGAACAATTTGGGTTTTACAGTGCATAGTGGTTTAGTGCTCAGCTTCTTAAATAGGCCCCATGGTCTGGAAGTCTGCTCGAAATTTCCGGGGAACTGCTCTGTTATGGTCTGTTTAGTTGCCTTAACAACTTTGTTTTTCGTGGGTGGGTGAGTGGGAGGTGAGGGGGGGACAGCTGCGAATTTGCTGGTTATTTGGCCACGTTCAAAACTCGGGGTAGTGTGGGTCCACCCTTGACCCTGCTTCCACTTATATACCAGGCTCTAGTCAGTGGCAGAGTTCGGTGACATGCACTAATGTCACATCCCATGGGATTGCAGTTTCAGACAAAAGAAAAAAAACAGGGTGAAGCAATGGGGTGTTAAAGCTACAACTATCTAACTTCTAAGCCTTGTTAGGTGTTTTTCTTTACTCTTTTCCATTTCAAAGATCACTTCTCCCAGTAGAGTTTGATTGTAAGACATCCTAACATAAAAGCACCTCTTAGAGGTTAATTTTTTTCCTTGGTTATCAAATCACTATTCATTTTACTTGCAGCTGTCTGCTTCCATATTTGCTTGTTATATAGTGTTGCCATAGTCAGCTTTGCAGTTTGATGTTCTTTTCCAATTAAATGAAATTCATGTGTCTGTATTGCATCATTATGAGTAGTTACGAAGTGATAAATACCTGAGCCTCTTGTTTATATTCGTGATGTTTCAGTATCTGATTACAAATTTCAATGACTTCCAATTGGCTTGTCTTGGAAGTTTCTTTCTTCATGAAAGCGTCTTCTTCTTGTCTGGACTTCCTTTCATTCTTCTAGAAAGGGCAGGATGGTTGAGCAAATACAAAATTCAGGTATCACTTTTTTACTCTATTAAGTGAATTACAAGGATTTATCATTTGTCTTCATTAAACATTCTCAATCTGTCTCGGTGTCAATTTTGTGCTGTCTGCACAAAAGCATTTTTGTTTTTTCTTTTAATATCCACCACGCTCTTTAGTTTAACTTTTTACTTCTGCCCCCCTTTTCAGATATCTTATTCTATTAAAATGCTTAGAGCGGGACAGAATAAGGGGAAATTTCTCTTAAATTGCTTCATATTTAAAGTGAAATATATCTTGCATGTTCATGCATCTAACGTGTCTAACATAAAGAGTCTGTCCTTTTTCTCGCCAACGGCCAAGTGTATAGCAGCATAGCACTTAAGAAAGGAGATTTGTTGGTTTAACCTAGAAATTTGCTACTGTCTATATGTTGAATGACAAAAGGATTCTTTTCATCCATTTTTTGCTATCCTTCCTGCATAAAAAGTTATCAAGGACTTCATATTTTGTATCAACAATTAAATTTAGAGTATTCGATCAATTACTTATAAGTATAACTTCATATTGAAAGCAAATTATTCTGACAAACATTCAAATTGACAAATTCTTCCTAAAGCTGATTTTTTTACCATTTGACTTTCTTTTATCTTTTTTAATTCTCTCACATTATAACCTGATTTTTTCCTCAAAGCTGATAGTTAATATGTCCTCTTCTGATTTATTTTTGACCTTGTCCTACTGAATCTCAATAGTAGAATTCCTGACCTCTCATTTGTTGCAGACAAAAAATAATACTCCTGCAGCTCAGGAGAAATGCATCACTCGCCTGTTGCTGTATCATTTTTGTGTTAATCTCCCACTTATGATGGCATCCTATCCAGTCTTTAAATTAATGGGGATGCGAAATACTCTTCCGTTGCCGTCCTGGTACTTTCAGGTTCTTTATATACTAAATCTTAGCAGTGACATATCTGTATATGATTATCTTAAATTTTGGTGGTGGTGACAGATCCACACAATTTTGTCAGCTGCCAAATATTGTTTCTTTAGTCTTCTAATTGTTTCGACTTATTCTATCTGTTTTTGTTGGGGTTGGCATGGGGTATCGAAGGTGTTGTTTGGTTGTTTATTGATGTCTTGGGAGTGAATTGCAAATATTTTGCTTCTGCAGGAAAGTGATCTCTACGCAAGTATT